TGACCTTCCTCTTAAAGGGCCGCGGACTCGCCGCCCAGACGCGCTCGCTTTGAGCTCCAGCGCTGCAGCTGGCGGGGAGGCGCTGACCGGCCGGGAGAGGGCTGGAGGGGCCGGGCAGAGGCCATTGTTCTTTGTTGAGCCCTCCCTCTGCCCAGCCTGCAGACACAGGTGCCGTCAACTGGATCACACAGGTCGCTATGCCCAGGGGATTCCCTGAGGCCCCGCCTCTCCCAGGTGGTGCCCCCCGCCAAGCCAATTCAGCGACTTGTTCCATATAAATGGGCTGTCCTGGCTCCTTCTGAGAACTTTCATATAATCTCTGAAAGGCTCATAATTCCCAAAGAAACAGCATCTGGCCTCTGTGTTCCCTGTACCACTTGCTGAGCAGCACCAAGCCCTGAACTAATGGCAGCCAGCCTCGGTTTCGGACTTGACCCCTCGAGACACCTATAAGCCACGGGTGGCAGCCACATGTGGATTGCTTGGTGACCTTTACCAGGTGGCCCTGGAGATGCATAGGCTATGGCTGAACTTGGCCTGCAGCTGGACCCCTCCCAAATCTGTGCCAAGGGGTCCAGAGCACACCTACTACATAAAGCCACTCTAGCAAGACCGGGAGACCTAGGAGACCTACCTAATACGTAAAAACACACAAGGAGGCAGCCAAAATGGGGAGACCAAAAAAAAAAAAAAAAGAAAGAAAGAAAATATGTCCCACATGAAAAAACAAACAAAACCCCAGAAAAAAAATTCACCAAAATGGAGACAAGCAACCTACCAGATGCAGAGTTCAAAGCACTGGTTATAAGGACGCTAAAGGACTTAGCGGAAAAGTAGATGAACTCAGTGAGAACTTTAACAAAGAGATAAAACAAACAAACAAAAAACATAAAAATAGAGATGGCAAACATAATAGGGAGCCAGAAATGAAGACTACAAACTCTAAGATGAAGAGTACCTTAGAGAGAATCAACGGAGTGGATGAAACAGAGGATCGAATCAGCGGCATAGAGGATGGAGTAGGAGAGGGCACCCAATCAGAACAGCAACGAGAAGAAAGAATCCAAAAAATGAAGATACTTTAAGAAGCCTCTGGGACAATGCCAAGTGTAACGACATTTGCATCATAGGGGCACCAGAAGGAGAAGAGAGAGAGCAAAGAATTGAAAACCTATTTGAAGAAATAATGATGGAAAACTTCCCTAACCTGATGAGAGAAATAGACATACAACCCCTGGAAATTCATAGAGTCAAAACAAGATGAATCCAAACAGGCCCATATCAAGACACATCATAATTAAAGTGCCAAAGGTTAAATTCAAAGAGAGAATCTTAAAAGCAGCAAGAGAAAAGCAATTAGTTACATACAAGGGGATGCCCATAAGACTGTCGGCTGATTTTTCAAAAAAAAATTTGCAGGACACAAGGGCTTTGCACAAAAATATTCAAAATGATGAAAACCCAGGACCTACAGCCAAGATGACTTTAGAATCAAAGGACAGATAAAGAGCTTCCCAGACAAGAAAAAGCTAAAGGAGTTCATTACCACCAAGCCAGTTTTACAGGAAATGTTGGAGGGACTTCTTTAATACGAAGAAAAAATATATATCAAAAGTCTAAATAAAGAATGGCAATTGCTACATATATATCAACAAATACTTCAAATGAAAAAAAAAAAATGCTCCAATCAGAAGATAGGATGGCTGAATGGCTAAGAAAACAAGACCCTTACATACGCTGCCTACAAGAGACTCACTTCAGATTAAAAGACACACACAGACTAAAAGTAACAGGATGGGAAAAGATATTTCATGATGGACCTAGAAATTAGTGTGCTGAGTGGAGTAAGTCAGATAGAAGAAGACAAATGCCGTATGATTGCATGTATGTGTGACAAACAAAGTCATAGATATGGAAAACATTTTGGTGGTTACCAGACGGGATGGAGGTTGCGGGGGGGTCAGTGAAAAGGGGGAAGGGATTAAGACATACGAATTGGTAGTTGCAAAATCGTCAGGGAGATAGAGTATAGCATAAGGCATTTAGCCAAAAATATTGTCATAACTATGTACAGTGTCAGAGGGGCACTAGATTTATTGGGGTGATCACTTTGTGAGTTATATAAATGTTCAATCACTGTGTCGTACACCTGAAATGAATATAGTATTGTGTCAACTATAACTGAAAAATTTTTTAAAATTGTTAGGAATAAAATACTAAAGATATATTGTGAAGTTAAAAAGGGCAATATTTTAGGTCTTCTCTGAGAGGCTAGGAGCTAGTTTCAGCTGAATATACGAAGTTAAATTAGTTACTGAAGCTTATTTATTTCAAGACTGTGAGCAGGTATAATGCTGTCCAAGTCACATCACTACAGATTCATCATCCACTTAGATTGCAAAATATCCACTGAAACGTTTGAGTCTTCCTAGTGATAAGGGAAGCATGCATGTTCAAAATAATTAGAAAGTAGGCAAATATGATTTTTAGGAAAAGTTTTAAGGAAATTGGGCCATTCAGATTATTATACTGAAAGTCCAAAATGGCTCCTTCATTGATGTTGTTCTCAGAGTCACCTCCATAAACACCGATGATCTGACAGAAGAAGCTACTCCTTTGAAAGTATTAACGGAAGAGCCTGCGTTTCTCAGTACACATTCGAAATCACAGCACATTTTGGCCTGTTGAAAGAAGCCTCCCCTCTGGCCTTCCGTAGTGATGTTGTCTCTGGCTTTGTTTTCCTCTTTGTTGGGCTAACTGCATAAGTTTGATAGTCATCTCTGGAATCATCCATTATATTTTGATTATGCAACTTTTTCAGCAATGTTCACTGGACTTTGGAGGAGCGTGTCATCTAAACTCAGAGATTTGAAGCCGGTCCCTAAATAAATCCCACGTGCAATTGTTTTTCAATAGAGAGAATCTGAGGCTAGGATGAAAGCCAGCGGCCTTGCTTGTTTTCAAAACGAATGCTTTCCTGAGTCGAACAATAGAGAAACGTAGTCAGAAACACTTCAGGGTGTTTGATCTCAGTTTTTGTTCTACAGTTCATTGAGTGAACACAATATTTTATTAGCAGACACTTTAATGATTGAATAGTGTTTATTTCTGTTTTATCATTATTGGCGCACCTTAATTTCACGTTATTGAGAGATGCATTTGCTTATTTAAACTCATGGGAATCTCAGTATGCATTCATGTTGGGGCTCCCAGCTATAAATTAGGCAAATGCATTCTGGGTAATTATTAATTTTTATGGTAATCTTCATAGAACACATACTTATTGAGCAACTACTGTGGAAGACACTTAGTAGGTTACTCTGAGAGGACTGACACCTGCCTCAGTGGATTCACTGGGCACTTGTCCTGTGGTTTATTAGATTTCTGTAAGGAACGTACAGTGAGAGGTGAATTCTAGGCTCACTGACTTGCCACATATTGCAGAAAAAGTCTGTCAGATAGAGACGAGGGGCAGAAAAGGCTCTGTCCTTCTCCGGGGCACTGTCTGATGACTGGCCCGTCACTGCCTCTAGTAGGAATGGGGTGTTAACCTGCTTGAGTTTTCTTCTGAAGTTGCAGTTGTACAGATGGTATTTCCCGAGGAGATTTCTCATATCTGAAAGAGGCCTGGCAGTTAGTGAGTGGGAAGACTCAGACCGCCTGGATTCAGGTGACGTCTCAGCCTCAGTTTCCCACGTGGAAATGAATGGATCCCCTGGCATGATCAGCTCCAGCCACTTTCTTCCCGAGGACACAGCGTTCAGACTGGGGCTCTTGGGAGAGGAGCTGGCTAACGGTGCTCGCGAGGGCCAGATTTTCCCCTTCTGCTGAAGACAGAAGAGAGCCCCTTGATTGACTGTCCCACACTGCACGCGGCGGCCGACGGAGAGCCCCTGGACAGAGGAGAAAGGGAGCCTGACTGAGCAGCACAGTGGCTGCCGCTCCTGAGGAGAGCACTTCCCAGACCGACGGAGGACCAAGGGCTTCCCTTTCTTTGTTCCCAATTCTTTGCAGATAGATACTTAAAAAAAAAAGAAAGAAAAAAGGAAAAGAAATCTATTTGATGACACATTTCTCCTCAGCCCTGCACTCACCCGGTCACAGGCCGTACTTTGGAGGCTGCACTCAGCCTCATCCTCCCCGAGGGAGCCCCCCACATGCAGCCTGGACACCCCCCGCACTTCACTGCCCCGTCCTCTCGTCACCTGACTGCGCCCTCACCCCTCTGCAGAAACTGCAAGGTCCTCCTTTTAAAAATCCACTAATGTCTTATCAGCTTTAATCCTCAAGTTCCTTCTTTCTTCCCGACCCTCTGTCCCCAAGGCCATCCTTCACAAGAACGCGCATCCCTCATTCTCTGCTCACGGGATCAGTGCCTTCTTTTCTTTCTCTAGGTCAACCTTCTGAAAGGCATGCTTTCCTAAGACGTGCTTTTTTGGCTCAAATGCCAGGCTCTGTACACTTTAAAAATGTGAACATCCGTGTCCCAAATGGAGTTAGGGGAATTGTTTTCAGATTTGATTCTATTCCTGTGTAAGAATTGGACTAATCATTAGACAATCGTATGTGGTGTCTGGGAGAAGGCAGCGACAGCGACATGTAAGGCGTCATTCCCGTGACTTCTCTGAAAGTGGGCGGTGCTGACTTACACGCTAAGCACGGACAGCGCCGTTTCTGACGCGTGAAGTTAAGGGGTGGGCAGCCTCCCTTGTGTCCCCTCCTTCTCGGTTTCATGTGCCTTCGCTGTGGCTGGGGCTTCGGCAGGTATGAGGACTGTAGCTACAGGTAGAGCCCTTTGCAGGAAGTTGATAGATGTGTTTCTTTTGCCAATGACAGGTAGCTCAACTCTCTGACCACCTGTATCCTCACTGGCCACATGACCCAGGAGATTACTTTCAATAGAAAATTCTTTAATTTTCCTACATTTCCTTGGATTATCCGGTGTAACCTTTTCCCATGTCTCAGCTATGTGTTAACCCCATTTTCTCCTTCTTTTCTAGCACCGTGTTCTGATCAGAGGCCAAATAAATGACACTCAGAACTTCCGCTGACATACTATAAGGTAAGATTTATTTTTGATTTGAGTTCTTTGCTTTCAAAGGGGAGTTTACGGCTTGATCGGAGAGAACAGGTTAATGAGGAACAGAAATTTCTGAGTTGGTGTTTTTCAAAACAATTTGTAATTGTTACTGTATGCATCTTAATGTAAATATATACTTATATTATATATACTTATATAATATATACTTATATTTACATCTTAATGTAAATATATACTTATATTCCAAATACTTATTTGTATCTTACCTGGAGCAGTATGAGTCATTTGCCATCTATTGTTTCCTTTATCGACGGACCATATGTATGACAGTGGTCCCATAGATTGTCATGGAGCCAAATGTCCTGGAAGAAATGGAAGGATTGTGATTAGGAGGAGTTGCTTTTCTCTGGCAGGAGCAGTATCTGTGGGGCTTGGCGGTAGGTTCCCTCCCACTCGGAGCACCTCAGTTCTGAGTGCACAGATGACATCCCAGTCCAGCATCCGCTGAGCTGTTTCAGCACAGAGGAGCCTGTCCCCCCAGCACTACAGGCTCAGAGGATACCACAGCCCTCCTAGAGCTAGCCTGATGGTCTTCAGAGTACATGGCTGTAAATTTATTCAGAGGACACTGATCCACAGGAGCTACCTTAACACGTGCTCAGTGCCACTGCAGTGAAGGCCTTTCTGTGGTGCTGCGGGGCCAGCTTGTGCCTGTACTTTGGAAGTATCTTCAGGCTGTGGTGGCGTAATGCACACATAACTTTTGTTTCTTCCATCACTTCAATGCCAGAGAGGGCCTTTGTGCCAGATTGGGTCAGTGGAACCAAAAACACATTTCCAAAGTCAAGTGCTGAGTCCTCGGCTCTCCACCCTCCGTGTTAAACAATCACCCTCTTTTTTATGAAAACCACAAAGCTCCTTAATCTGACCACTGCTCCAACATGCAATAACCAAAACCACGCTGCCATGACAATCCCACATCCCTTTACCCTTCCGTCTTGATTTCCTATTCCTCCCGATCCTCAGGCCACCTTTCAGCCCCTCCTGACAGCCACTCTGAAGGTGATCTATGCCTCATCTAGCCAGTTTCTCCTGCATATTCCTAACTGGTCCAGGCCACGTCCCTGTTCGTCAGCAGCGCTGACAGCTCCTGGGTGTCTTTCTGCCCCCGTGGTAAGGAAGCAAGGCCGAGCTTGTGGGGCAGTGTGTGGAGGGTCCCCAGCGGCACAGTCTTCCCATCACCCCGCTCACTCACTGACTCACGCAGACCAGCGTCCAGTCCTGTGAGTCCCATTCGTGGTGAGCGCCCTATACCATTTTTTCTCTTTTATACCATATTTTTACTGTAACTTTTCTGTGTTTAAATATGTTTCAATAGACAAATAGCATGTGTTACAGGTGCCCACAGTATTCAGTACAGCAACATGCTGTACAGGCTTGTAGCTTAGAAGCAATAAGGCTATAGTCTAGAGCCTCGGTGTGTGGTAGGCTGTGCCGTGTGGGTCTGTGTCAGTGCCTCTGTGATGTCTGCACAACAACGAGATCGCCTAACGAGATTTCTCAGAATGTATCACTGTCCTTAAGTGGCGCATGACCGTAGTGCAAGATGTTTGAATTTTTAGCATATGTGGGACCTCGTAGCTTATCTAATTCATAGAAGCTTAAATATTATTCCTTGATTTACATCGCCTTTTTCAGAATGCTGTACAAAATCTGATTGTGAATATAAAGCAAGGTACATTGTGAAAAAGCTCGATCCTTTTTAAATGTGACAGTTAGTTATCCCTTCTCTATTCAGCAGACAGCACTAATAGACTACTTAATATCTGTTCTCCCCGTCTTTCTTCCTACAATGCCCCGATGTTCTGAAGGACAGCAGCGTGCCTGTTTTTAAAGCCTTGGCCTCCCACACTCCTTCACTGAGGCCACGTGGTCCAGTTCCGGCTAAGGGCTCTGGGAGGCGGCCCTGGGGAGGGGCCCCCTGCCCGAATTAAAAGAGCGAGGCTTCGAGAGGATACTATTTTGGGAACATTATCCTTCGTTATTACCCCATCTTCCTACTTGGAAAGCTGTTTCAAAATTTGTAGCTGTGAGATTTTAATTTACGGGAGTGACTAAGCGGCGACACAGAGAGGGCAATGCCGCTGAAAGAAGAATTTATTAGTCACATTTCCTGAGAGAAGGGGGCACTCCGTGTCCCCCGGGCCCCAGGGGGAAGCACCGGGTTTGGGCAGAGGCGGAAGACGGGAGTGAAGAACGCGTCCAGGTCAGAGTCGGCGCTGCGCGTTCGCACAGGAGGCCAGGGCCAGGCGGGAAGCTCCCCGGGCGGCCGGCGAGAGCCAGGCCCGAGGGCCCTGGGCTGCGGGACGGGCTCTGCTCCCTGGTACCTGGCTCTGGGTGAGTCAGGGCTCGGGCATATCGGTTCGGGGTGTGACAGTTAGATAAGACGGTGGCTGGGACTGCAGATTTAGGTTGACATACGAGATACGCTCTCAGCCAGGCCCTTCGCCAGCACGGGAGGGGCGGCCTGTCCCTGGCCAGCAAGATCTTGCTGTGTCAGAGCATCATAAAAGAAGAAAATAAAAAAAACGTAATTAATAAGAAGCGCAGCCCCGTCTCGTAATCACAAGGGCAGAAGCCACAACCAGACAGGTGGAGCAGAAAGGTCAGAGGAGCTTGGCCCCTCGAGTTCCCGCGAGCCGGCCGTCGCCTTCTGGGGAATCAGCGCACCCCAACTCGGTGGGTCTTTGAGGCTCAGCGAGAACTCAGACATAGCGGAGTGGCCGGCGTTCAGGTCTGGGCGTTTGTCGCATCGGAGATGCTCCGCGCCGCAGCTTCCCTTACGGTGCTGCCGCCAGGTGGGTGCTGCGCCCATGGCGCAGCCGCGAAACCAGCGCTTGGCGATGTTGAGCACGTGATCCTGCGATCGCAGCCGGCGAGCTGAGGTTTGAGCCCATCCCCGTCCTCTCCCCGCTCGGCGCTGTCCCGACAGGCGGCCTGGAGCCTGCACGGTTGCTGAGGGCATTTGCCAGCACGTCAGGGGCATCGTCGGTTTACTAAACCTTTCAATGCTCTTCAGGAACACGGAGTTTTCATTATTATCCATTGATAACCCTGAATGGACTGAGACTGCTCCATGTTATAAACGAGGGAACAGAAAAATCTTGATTTGGGGGAATCGGGATGAATTGGAATTGCCTACGAAAGCGGGTGAAGGAAATATTAACTTCAAGATTCTTTTGTGTTTTTGTTCTTTAAAAGTTTAGAGTCCTTCTCAGGGCCTTTACTTTGTCCCTCTCACTGTCCTTCTCTCTGTCCTCACTCTCTGCCTCCGAGAGGAGACCACACTGTCTGTGGAGTGTCCCCCCTTTTCTAATAAACTTTCTTTTTAACTCTAAAAAAGTTTAGAAATAATGATCTAAGAATGGCCACCAGAACTCAACTTTTTACCCTACGGCCTCAGTATTAAACAGCGTCCTCCTAACAACCTCCATTACTTCACTCGTACTTATTAGGTTCAGAAAAAAATGCAGATAAAAGATAAACTATACAACGAACTTTCTTTTCAGAGAAAATCATGCAAGATATTGAACGAGTGCGAAGCCGAGTCAGGCAGGAGGTGCTGGGTTATGGAAAAATCTGTGGCTTAGAAAATATGAGGCAGGAAATGCAGGTGACAGCCAGCTCTTTTGAGGCTTAAAAGAGCTATTTCACCTCTCTGGACTCATGTTCTTTATTTGTACATTGAGGGTGTAGATTTCTGACATTCTCTTAGGATAAACTCACAGCTTACCCTGTGGGCCTCCTTTGCTCATGCAGGGAAATGCTCTATTAAAGCTGACTTTCCCTCTTTGGCCATTGAATCTGCAAGTTACCTGTTATTTTCATTTTCCTTTCTTCTGTCAAGTACACCCTGAATCTCTTCACTGCTTTCTGTGTCTTCTGTCCTGATCCTCCTCCGGGTGCATCATTGTCTCACCTGGACAACTGCATGAGGTTCCTGGTGGTCTCCCGGCTTCCATTCCCGCCATACCAAGTCCATCGGTGTGCAGAAGCCAGCGTCCGGGGACACAGATCACCTCTTGTCACTCTCCTGTGTGACACGTACTTACACCCCTCGCCTCCGCACTCCATGGTTAGGGTGAAGCCCAAACGCACCAGCACAGCTCGCGCCCTACAGTGCGCTTCCGCTTGTAGCCGCTGGCCCTTGCCTCCGCACTCGGGGCCCCCCGTCTTTGTGTCTGTTCCCCGGATGTGTGTTTCCTTGCATTCTTTCCCCTGGGGCCCGGCACTGCAGCGTTCTGTCCCTGGCCCTTCCTTCAGAGCTCAGAGGCCTTCAGTAACCACTCTCTCGAAACGGGTGTTGTCTCCGGCACTCACATTAACCTTTGAAAACTAGCACTTTCATTTTTTAAGGCATATTAAAAATACCTCCATGTGGAAACAATACGTATGTAGCTTAAGGGGTTTAGGAAAGACATGAAGAATTCGGCCACTTTTGTTTTTAGTTTGTTGTTTATCGTCACCGTGTGATCTAAGCTTCATATGGGCAAGGCCTTGTTTGCCTCCTCACCGCCAAACCCATGGGACCTGTAGGGACACCTTTCCCCTGCAGGAGGGTGGCACATATTCACCGAGTGAAGGAATCCAGAGGAAGAAAATGCCAAATGTCCCTAAAGAAATTATCCATGCTTCTAGATGTCTCTGCCACGTCTGTTGCTTAGACCAAAAGGGAAAGAAATACAGGAAAAGGTAAAAACAGAAATTCTGGGAAGAGAGACACAGCAGTGCCCATGAGAATAGCCATAAGTCCTTGGGAGGGACTGGCCTCTCCAGCGGTTTCACGTGGCGTTTCTGAGCTGATGACAGGCAACAGCACCAATTCTTGGGTCTTACATCGATTTATTAGATGAGCCTGCCACATAATGATCAGAAATGTGTGTTGAATGAAGGCTCAAAAGAAAGAAATGATAAAAGTACTAAACTGCTAGTTTAGTTTTGCCTTTTAATAAAAATGGGCA